GACTTTTGAGTTATTTGTTTTACATTTCGCAACTACACTTTTCAAGTTTCGTTAATCTCACAACACTTGGGACAGGGGGCATTTTGATCCATTGGACCATGCAATGATCGGTGAATAGTCTCAAGGGCATTTTGGCAAGCCCACTAAATGTATTATCATGAAAGCTAGTAGTTTTTTTGCCCGGAGGTGATGCAGTCCGAGAATCCCCGTGGATAAAGTAGTCTTGACACGAATCGTTCCACCAAGTGGGTCGCCGTCGCGAATCCACTCTAGTAGAAACGTACCACAATTTCTTATTTCAGACTAACGAATCAATGGTCCGGGTGAAATTTAACGTCAACATTCGGTGGTTGGACCCGATCCTTATGAACTGCAACCAACTGGAAATGGTAGGGTTTTGAATACGCATCGCTTGTTGAGCAGCACGGTTGACGTACTGAATCAAGATGACATTTTCGAGACAGGTTTATATGGTGCGGCAATTTACATACGTTTTTTGTTCAGATGGTAGGGAATTTACTCTCGGGCTTTCATTTCTTGGGTACTTTATGCAATTCCCTCAGAATCTTAAACTGCTTGTTTATATCCATGAAAATATACGCCCAAAATATATCATTGCATTCCGACAAAAAGTAGCCGAAGTCTCCATAAATTTGCAATAATTCACAATTATTTCCTGGAAGGCTCGCGTTTTGGTTTTCCGCAGTTTCGGAATTTTTCTATCAAAAAAATCGACATCCGTTTGTAGTACTTTAGAAATCTCATAATGTAAATATGACATTTTCGAAATCTTGCAAGGCTCAAGCTTATATATGTCCGAAGAAATCACTTGGTTCTTTGGATCCTTGGATGTAAATAAATCTATAGCATAGAATCCAGTTTTTCTTCTCAAGTTTGCGGGTATCCAATAGTTCTGTGGAGTTGAGGAATAACTTTCTGAGAACGTGAGTTACAGATTCCGTACGAACCATTTTTGAATACACAGATGAGACCTGAATACACAACGAGCAATGGCTTGGGCACCTGGTGATCAAATGAATTAATTTTAGCAACGAAGAAGGAACGTTTTGGGCATATTCAGAACCTGATGCAACGTTGAGTCACTTCCATACCAAGCCAGTAAGCTAAAGTCAAAGTATGTTATTAGTTTGAGGTGGTTTTGTCTATGCAGTCATCAGCAATGTTTCTCTCAATACTTTCCAGGGATGTAAGTTGTATCATACGTACACCATAAACGGTTCGGATGGATGAACATTACTGTGGTCAGCTCGCACTTAAGCAATCATAACTTTGTGATAAGATACACATTGTGTGGTCATGACTCGTTTGGTTTACAGAGTCACAGATATTCGGAGAAAAAGTCCCATGAAATCCCAACTTATTCTTCCACCCGAGCTACCTGTAATCTACTGATATTGCGAAGAAATTTGAGAGAATGCACCACCTGTGTATTGTTGTCCTTTGAGAAGTGGTGGCGGGATAGACTCAGACATCCATCTCGTTGGTTTAGCCGATCGATCCAACTCAACAAAGGTAGACAAGTTGGTAAGAATATCTGGTTGTTGTAGGATAAATATGCCTGATTTTTCCAGGGCTATCTCATGAGGGGACGAATGTCGCCGAGGACTCCTGACTTTATCTCTTTAGAAGATTTTCAAGATTTTATGTCGCCTGACCATTAAAAACAGCCAAAGTAGATGAATCTAGAGGAGTCTCATTTGCCAAGAATATGTAATCTGCCCACTTGCAGCAGTGCACATACTTTGCAATCTCCTGTGTCAGTGAGCTTCCGTTTTTTCAAGACGTAGATATACCTCGATGTGGTGAACCAAGTAAACCATCCATCGCTTTTGCACTCAGCAGTTCAAACTCGTTTAAGACGAGTAGAAAATGACCAATCAGAGCGCTGTGCTAAACTGTTTAATCTAAATTTTGAGATGAAAAGATGGGAATTTATCGTATTGAGGAAAAGTGATAAGACGTGCAGGAATAACTGTCCTTTGTCTAAAATTATCATGACTTTGACGTTATCAGTAAAATCAAGTGCATCATTCACACTACTTAGCATTCAGGTCTCGAATTTTCTGTCGGATTTAACACTACCATTCGGCAGTGTCGTGTTTTGTCGAAGGCACATATACAGGAGTGCACGCAGGGTATATCAGCGTTAAGTGATTTAGGTAGAACATACAGACACGGAAGATGATCGTATTGTTCTGCTGTTGTGTTGTTGTTTCCTGCGTCTTATTCAGCAACAACAATGCTACTCCTTACGAACAACTTGGCCCTTCGGGGTACACATTAGGGATAACCGTCCAAACTGACGAGCGACCTTAACCTTCATGTTATATATACATAAATGTGTTTCAGATAAGGAGATGTCTAAGAGGTTGTCTTCACTTATGCTGTGTTGCTAATAAGATTACGGAAGCTTTCCGAGTAAATCGTGCTGACCTGGAAGGCTAGCGAGGACAATTACCGAGCATAGTGTCTTCAGTCTGTCAATTAATACAAGTTTGATTGGAGTCTGTTGAGCTCAAAGAAGATGGGATTTTCGACCGTGCAAAAGTGTATTTTAACCCAGTAATAAAGTAGGACTGAAGAAAAATAGCTAATAATTGGGTCGGCATATGAATTATACAAGGTTATTGGAGTCTGTTGAGCTCAAAGAAGATGGGATTTTCGACCGTGCAAAAGTGTATTTTAACCCAGTAATAAAGTAGGACTGAAGAAAAATAGCTAATAATTGGGTCGGCATATGAATTAAGCACATAGGATTGAGTCTCCCGTATTCTGCACATGAACTTCTCGAGGGTCATACTTGTACTTGCTTTGTACTGTTTGACTGGAATTCACAATATCGTACTGTTAAATTTATGGCAATTTTTGTTGTACCCCTCATTCATCCAAACCATTGAACCGGGTAAATCAAATGTGTTTTCATAAAATGCATTTAGCACTAGAAAACAATTTCAGTTTCTTTTATTTGGCCTATCATATTGCTTCTGGGCTTATTTGAGTGCTGTAACTCATAAATTATGTGTGAGTGGTTGGTGGCCGGTGCCGCATTATCAGTCTGTGGAATCAATTAAGGGCGGTCATCACAGGCTTCCTAGATGGTATCCGTAAAATTCCATTTATGATGGAACAATCAAATGTGGGTAGCAGTAACATGAAACGGAGCGAGTAGACAAGTTGCATGAACGAAATACGGGCGTGTCGCATGTGTTTCTATTAATGAGCTATAATCTGTTGAGCTCTGAAGCCCGTGAAGTTGCCAAAAATCCACCATCGGACTACGTTGGATCTTGCCCGTATCTGTGTATGATGGACGTGTGTACCAAATACCTCATTAAAATTTCTCGGGGGTGAAACGAAAAATAGTATAAACAGAACCCTCATTTTCTAAGCTAAAACCTCAATCGAAATTTTCAATTTTTACTCGAAACAGCCAAGTATCAATCATGATTTTCATGTAACCGACTATCTACCCAACGGAGATGGTGGGGCATCATTAAATTATCTCTTGAAATTATTTTTAACTTTGCTGATTCTGGCTATTTCCATATATTTTTCAACAAGGAAACGTATACCGGTCCATCATATATAACTGTTTGTTCCCAATAAGACTCATCTAAAAAGAAGTCGGGTGGTAAGAAAGTAGAATTCTCTTTTTTTACATTCCTTTTACAAACTTCTTCATCTTCGTACCCTTCCTTCCCTTTTTACTTAAGTTCCATGTAAACGTTTAACCATACTTTGGCCAACTTAATCTCATAGTTATGTTTTTCCAAGGTCCTCATCAGCTCATGTCGACTCCAAACTAAAACGGGAGGGTGAAAACCTTGTGCTTAGTCTTACTGACAGATCATTCATTCAGGAGTTTATCTACACCAATAAAGTGATCAATGAAGAAAGCAAAAAAGGTGGCGTTCAGCCTGTCACAACCGAATCCTACGGGGTTAATTCTCTCATCCAGAAATTCTAAAGTTGGATCCTTTTTGCTGATGGACCCAACCGTAATGAAGAAGGCTTAAACTGCTTCAGTGAATTCAAGATACATACTAAAACGTTGAAAAGTGAAACATCATTTTAGGGTAAATATCATCCCAGAAGAACGGTCTATTTTTCTGCGTGGGGTAGTATTCTCATGATCCAGTATAAACCAGTTATTAATAGAATTGTCACGAGTGACCATTGGTGTCCTCCTTCAAAAACAATTTCAATTACTGATGCTGCAAAAGTTTCAGCGAGTTTTGATTCCTTGATTTCTCTGAAAACTTTCCACGGATGGCACTTCTATGAAAGCATTGTATTTGGTCGTTTTCCCTTTTATTCAAAAATATGTATTGTGGACGTCACTGTTGGGTTTGTCCCTTAAATGCATTTGAACCCTTAAACATTCGGAGCGCCACAGACGTTTGCAAAGAGCCACACTAAAGCTCATGAGGTCAATGTTGAGTCAAACGAACGACATATGTAAACGGAGAAGCAGAGATGAAAAAGCAATCTGCATTATTATGAGCTACATTTTCATCATCAAGGCCATCTGTCATTTTTATAGCGTACAGGATATTAACGCGGCTCTTGAAGTATAGTGTTGCTTTCATGTCACTCAGGAAAGCCTATTAGCGCACCGCCAGAGTGCTAATGGATAAGTTAGATGGATGAGTAGATGATATATATATATATATATATATATATATATATATATATATATATATATATATATGTGTAT